ATTACAACATACTACTCCCAAATTTTTTTACTATATTGGATTAGATTGGGTTAGAGTTAAATTTCGTTAGGCTATTTTTCAAATTTTCGATTTTACACCTGTAATGGGTACTTCCAAATCTTCGCCCCTAACTAAAAACACTATTCTTCTACAAGGTTATGCCAAGCCCCCCTCTAACCCTGCCCTGGTCCTAACCACTATCCAATCTCTGACCAACGGTTTCATTATTTAGTCATTTTATTTTCATTATATATGACAAAATTGCAATGTTTCCTCAAACTAAACAAAGTTTATTTTACGATTTTCTTTAGGAAAAAATCACTATGAAGTCTTAATCACTAAATAATACAGTAAACATAGAACTTGCATAGAAATGATATGTCTCTTAAAACTTAATTAATGTATTGTATTTAATTTTAATAGAATTTTGCTTTTTAATTTGAGTGGCATCTAAATTATTATGACTTTGACATTAACTAGTACGTAAGTAGTTAGAAATGTGTATTTGATTTAGAAATATCCCTATCTTAGTTATAGAAACGGAATGCTTTTTTATTAACGATTAATAAGATTTGAATTTGTTAATTTCTGTAGGACTACAATTCAACCACAAGCTCCTCAAAACCGTCGTCAGTTAAAACAAAAACTACAGTCGTTCAAAATAATACAACGACCACTCATCAAGAAAAAACTGTCACCACAAAAACCCCTGAAAAAACCGAAAACGATTCCAACAGGGCTTCAACTATAACGTGAGTTAATTTTCTAAAATTAAAGCAATTCGTAATGTTAATTTGAAAATATTGTCTTACAGGAATGGAACGCCTAGCAAAAATGAACCCAATCCATTTGAAGAAGAAGAATGGGATGATAGTGACGCGTTGGTAGACAATGGAGAACCTGGTATTCCTGTGAAGGCTTTATATGATTATGAAGGTGCAGAAAATGATGAACTCAGCTTCAAAACTGGTATGATTTTATTAGTTACTTAATAGAATATTTCTTGATAATGCAATGCAAAATAATATCCCAAAGAATTTCTCATAGGATGCAAAAACGTTTTTCGATCTGGATGAAATTTTATTTGGTACAGATGGAGAAGCAAAAAATATTGGTTGAAAAAATAATTGTTATCTCAAAGAGTATAAAATTTGCAGCATGTACTATTGTGATTGGCATCGAAAGAATTTTCAATTAAAAGTTATGCCATGTCATCTTGTTTATCAACATAATGCTACTGTAAAACATCCTACAATTTTATATACAAATTTTTGTGATTTAGCATTCTCTAAGCAATGATAAATCAGTTTTAGTAATTATACGTGAATGATATTTTGCAAAATCTACTTTTTTAAACATGTAGACAATAATCTGAAGATATTACCTTGGGCGTTTTAGTCTGAATTTTAGCGGCCCGCACGTTGTACGCTTTCTTTTATAATATATATTAATTACTTTTTGTGATTATAATGAAATTACTTAATTGACAAGCAATAGTCAAACAAAAAGTTCTCATTATTCCAAAANTTACAACACAAAATTATTAAAATACCTACTAATTATCACATACAATAAAAATATTGTGATTTATTTCATTTAATATCTATATTTAGTAGAATAATCTTTAGGAGAAACCACAAGACCTCTGCCTTTTCTAGCACCTCTATAAACAGTTTCAATAATATCGATCATTTCTTGTTTATCCTCTAATGGCCAATTAATTTTATTGTTATTACCAGTACCCAAGTCAATCATTATATGCTTGTTTCGGAAGAAGAACATTACAGTGCATGGGTCATAAAGTTCATACATTTTATTAAAGTCTGGAACTTCTGTAATATCCACAAGGTATATAACAGCGAAGTTTTTTACTTTTTCTGCTATATTGTACAGTACTTCATCCATTCTCATACATTGTGGATCCCAATCATGACCAAATCGTATGACCTATTGAAACAACTATTTATTTTAAGAGGCTTATGTCTAACAATTTCACTTACAACAACACGATCTTCTTCAGATAATATTGCTTGATCCACTTGCCATCCATTGTGCAGATGAGTTAACATATACGACATTTTAATGTTTTTGTTATCTTCTATAAAATTTATTCGCAAAAATGAATTTCTGGCATTCAAAAATTTGCACAAAACTTTTAAAACAGCAATGATTATCGGTTTATTATGGATCTCTATAAATTACTTGTCTAGGTTAAATGTGATATAATTTGATCTATGGATACAATAATCATCATATAATCATAGAATAAAGAAATACACATAGATAATATATCATAATAATATTGCCATAGAATATTACGAGATTGGCAAAATGTCTTGAAAGAGTCACCACGTCCCCATTTTAAAATTAATTCATGTGTTATTTATTTGATGCCAGTATTTAATTCTTATTTTGTTCATTTGTAGATAACCACAGGGTAATTCTTTACATTAGTTGACATTGGAATTGAGACATGAAGTTTAGTCAGGTAGGTAGTACTGACCAAGTGAAGTAGTGTAGTAGTATTTACTAGAATTTTGTTTATTATTTGTTTAAAAATGAATGTGAGTGAGATACAGGCCCTTAAAGTTTTCTTAATCGGAGGAAATACCGGTAGGTACGGCCCTGGCTTCAGCCTTCCGTCAGCTGTTCCCGCCAAACATCGTTTGTCCTAAAACATATCTTCCTAACATTATTCTAATGTATCAGCCCGCCTTCGGCGGGCAGGGGCATTAAACAAACTCGAGTCTGTCATACATCTACCTAACTAAACAATGACGTCATCAATGCATATTTGGCGAGAACAGCTGACGAAGGGCTGCAGCCAGGGCCGTACCAATCGAAATTTCCTCCGATTAAATAACTTTAGGAGCCTGTATCTCAAGCTACATTGGTTTCCGCACGGAATTAATGCTACCACACGATTCTACTTGGT